CCTAAAAAATCTCTGACTCTGTTCATGTCTCTGCAGCTCTTATGCAGCCTCGAAGCCCTACATGATCTGATCTTCTACTCTCTTGTCCCTTCTCCTCACTGCTGATAAAATTCTGGCCACATGAACCTTGGATTTGCCAAGTTCATTCTACCATAGAGCCTTTCTGCTTGCTGTTTCCTCTGCCTAAAATGTTGCAAATCTTCGCTTGGCTGGTTCCTTCTACGATACCATGTAGGTTTCAGTTTATATGTCCTCAGAGTGGTCTGCTTTACTTCCCAATTCCAAGCTGCCTTCTAGTGACTATCTCATCATCCCGTGTGACTTTCACCACAGGATTCATTTTCATTTTCTTTTTGATTTTTTTCCCCTTTTTCATCAGAATTAAGTTTCATGTCATATTCAATGCTTTACTCCCAGGGCCTAGAACAGTGTCTGGCACACAGAAGATACTCACTTACTGAATATCTGAATGTGATATTTAAACATTACTGAATCCACTGAACTGGATTATTCAGCAGCTTCCTGACTTTAGTTTTGCTCTCCCCAAATCCATTTTCCACATCGTAGCCTGAAGCCATTTTCTGAAACACCAATATGATTACATCACTGCCTCACTAAAAATAGGGCTCACTACTATAACACATTCAGAAAGAGTTCTGTCCTTGAGACAGAGAAGACAGACCCTTTATTATCTGGCCTCTGTTTACCATTCCCAGTACATCCCTTCTCCCCTTCTGCTCTCTAGCTAGGCTGAACCACTGCCAACGCTTCACACGCCGGCTCTCTTGCCTCTTGAATTTCCTGTACTTGTCCGTCTTCTATGACACTCATCTTTCCTCCCCAGCTTGCCTGGTTAACTCTTACTCATTCTTCAGGTCTACTTAGTCATCATTTCCTCTAGAAAACCTTCCCTGATCTTAGAATATGGGGTTAGGCTCCCCACCTATGCGCTCCCACAGTGCTCTCTATCTCACCCCAACCTAGCACTGAGTTTGGATGTCCTGTAATTGTCTGGATACTCACCTGTATCCTTTTCAAGAGTGTAATTTCCTTGGGGGCAGGCAGGGCCTTATCTTTTTCAGTAACATTGCTACCACTAAGCACAGTGCCTGTTGGCATACTATAGATGCTTAATGTATATTTACTGAATTCATTTACTATACTGGAAAATCTGCTGGCCAATTCAGAAATCTTTGTTATTTCTTCCATGTTCTCCACAGTGTTTAACTCAATGTTACCCACAGCACGGGTGCTCAGTAAATATTAGATAAAACTAGAATTTCCTTAACCCAGAAAGTAAAGAGAGAAAAACCAAGATGTTCAAGTTTCTTGATGATGGGGCATATTTATATAAGGAAACTAGCAAGGTTAGTGACAAGTTTTAAATTAAAGAGCTATGCTTAATAGTTTATAATTAAGTTATGTATCTCTTTCAACATGTCTCCTTGCTGTGCTGTGGCTAGCATTTAATTTGGGCTATCTGCTAACACAGGGATAGTTCAGCCTTTTTTCAAAACACCTATGTTAATATATAAGCACTACATGGTTGAATTCTAGGGAATCACTTTATAAGCACTCTTTTTTTTTTTTTTTTTTTTTGAGATGGAGTCTCGCTCTGTCACCCAGGCTGAAGTGCAGTGGCCTGATCTTGGCTCACTGCAACCTCTGCCTTCTGGATTCAAGCAATTCTCCTACCTCAGCCTCCTCAGTAGCTGGGAATACAGGCATGTGCACCATACCCAGCTAATTTTTTTTTGTATTTTTAGTGGAGATGGGGTTTCACTATTTTGGTCAGACTAGTCTCAAACTCCTGACCTCAAGTGATCCACCATGCCTGGCCAGCACTCCATTTTAAAGAGATAGGCAGGGCATAGTGGCTCATACTTGCAATCCCAACACTTCGGGAGGCCAACACAGGAGGACTGCTTGAGTCCAGGAGTTTGAGAACAGCCTGGGCAACATAATGAGACTCTATCTCTATAAAAAAATTGAAAAACTAGCTGGGCACAGTGACATGAACCTGTGGTCCCAGCTACTTGGGAGGCTAAAGTGAAAGGAATGCTTCAGCCCAGGAGGTCAGGGCTGCAGTGAGCTTTGATTGTGTCACTGGATTCCAGCCTGGGTGACAGAGAAGGACCCTGTCCACCCCCCTTCTCACCTCCCAAAAAAGATATATAAATGAGTAAACCTTTTCTGATAACAGGAACTAACTACTGTCACTAAAGGATAAGAATTATGCTGGGTGCAGTGGCTCACGCCTGTAATCCCAGCACTTTGGGAGGCTGAGGCGGGTGGATCACAAGGTCAAGAGATCGAGACCATCCTGGCCAACATGGTGAAACCCCGTCTTTAAAAAAAAAAAAAAAAAAAGGGATAAGAATTATTCTTCTTTGGTACTATGATAATTTGTATAAAAATATATAGATACAAAAATATAGATATATGCTGTACTCATAAAGTAACATGGCAAGTTTTAAAAATAAACACACTAGAAGTTATTCTTATAAATTAGATTTGTCATCAAAGTAATCTCCTTTGGAGACTCATTCAAATAAGAGGACCAAAGCTCAAAATGTTTTGGAAAACTTCCTTTGGAAAATATCTTTAGATCCTACACCAATCGATTCTTTTGAACATTCTTACAGATGATACATCTTTGGCTTTGAAGGTGTTTGTTTACCTTTACAAGCAAGTAGTCATTAGACACCACAGTTTAGGTTAAAGATCATGACATACTAGATAAAAATAAGGTATATTTGGATATGCAGATTTCCATGTGTAAGTTATATAGGAGTTCTGAAAACAATGCCAAGAGGAGTTCTAGAAATGTTGAAAGAGAGAAAGACAAAGACAACAAGGAAACGCATTTCAAGAGTCACAGATTCCCCACCCCTGCGTTTTTTTTTGGAGAAGTCTTGCTCTGTTGCCCAGGCTAGAGTGCAGTGGTGTGATCTCGGCTCACTGCAACCTCTGCCTCCTGAGTTCAAGTGATTCTTGTGCCTCAGCCTCCTGAGTAGCCAGCATTACAGGTGCGTGTCAACATGCCTGGCTAATTTTTGTATTTTTAGTAGAGACGGGGTTTCACCATGTTGGCCAGGCTGGTTTCATACTCCTGACTTCAAGTAATCTGCCTGCCTCAGCCTCCCAAAGTAATGGGATTACAGGCGTGAGCCACCACACCGGGGTGACCCTTGAAAATCTGATTAAAATTACAGCTCCTTTCCCGAGAAACATCATGGCTTCCTCACTGCCCTACGCCCCCCAAAACCACTTACACTAGAGTATTCGACAAACATGAACATGCTAAGGACCCTCTGTGGAGCCACATTCAGCTCCCATGATTTAAAGCACTGGCTTTTTTATTTCCTTTCATTATTTTTCGTGTTTTAGCCATCAGGAAAAAAAAGAAAAGGAAGTACCTTATATACTGTGACCCAGTTTGTAAATACATACATATAATTAAAAGTTTCACAAAACAATCTTCAACCCTACTTGATGTGATATTATCTTCTTTTTGATTTCATTAAGAAAAATGTTACTCATGACCTACTGCACTAACTTCACAATCTATAACCTGGAAAATACTAATTTTAGAGTAACTGCTAAATAAATGAAATATGTTAATGAAAAAGAAAAAACTCACGTGATTATAAAAATTCTGGGCTGAGTGATGTGGCTCACACCTGTAATACTCATATTTTGGGGCTCTGTGGCAGTAGGATTGCTTGAGCCCAGGAGTCCGAGACCAGCCTAGGCAACAAAGTGAGACCCTGTCACTACAAAAAAGAAAATTAAAAAATTGGCTGGGCATGGTGGTGCATTCCTGTGGTCCCAGCGGCACAGGAGGCTTAGGCAGGATACTTGCTTGAGTGACAGAGCAAGACCCTCTCCCAAAAAATTAACATTAAAGATTCTGGCCGGGCACGGTGGCTCACGCCTATAATCCCAGCATGTTGGGAGGCCAACGTGGGTGGATCACCAGGTCAAGAGATGGAGACCATCCTGGTCAACAAGGTGAAACCCCGTCTCTACTAAAAATACAAAAATTAGCTGGGCATGGTGGTGTGTGCCTGTAGTCCCAGCTACTCGGGAGGCTGAGGCAGGAGAATTGCTTGAACCCAGGAGGCGGAGGTTGCGGTGAGCCGAGATCGCGCCATTGCACTCCAGCCTGGGTAACAAGAGCAAAACTCCGTCTCAGAAAAAAAAAAAAAGATTCTGGCTGGGCACGGTGGCTCCTGCCTGTAATCCCAACACTTTGGGAGGCCGAGGTGGGTGGATCACAAGGTCAGGAGTATAAAACCAGCCTGGCCAATATGGTGAAACCCCATCTCTACTAAAAATACAAAAATTAGCCAGGCATGGTGGCACGCATCTGTCGTCCTAGCTACTTGGGAGGCTGAGGCAGAAGAATCGCCTAAACCCAGGAGGCAGAGGTTACAGTGAGCTGAGATCGCACCACTGCACTGCAGCCTGGGTGACAGAGGGAGACTCCATCTCAAAAACAAAAAAAAGGTCCTGATATGTTATTTAAAAATTATAATAAACACAAAGAGTCGGCCGGGCGCGGTGGCTCAAGCCTGTAATTCCAGCACTTTGGGAGGCCGAGGCGGGTGGATCACAAGGTCAAGAGATCGAGACCATCCTGGTCAACATGGTGAAACCCCATCTCTACTAAAAATACAAAAAATTAGCTGGGCATGGTGGCACATGCCTGTAATCCCAGCTACTCAGGAGGCTGAAGCAGGAGAATTGCCTGAACCCAGGAGGCGGAGGTTGCGGTGAGCCGAGATCGCACCATTGCACTCCAGCCTGGGTAACAAGAGCAAAACTCCGCCTCAAAAAAAAAAATTAAAAAAAAAATAAATAAATAAACACAAAGAGTCAAACCTTTCAAGAGATTAGATTCTTTATGACAAAAGAGTGTTGCCTTGGCCATTCATCCACATGGCTACCAGAGACCCCAAAGAGTGAATCACACAATGACCACGGAAACTCCATACCTTAATATTAGAAAACCATAAATCATTTTCATGTAACGTGGCAAGGTAGACAGATGTAAGAAGTCCAATGCAAAGGGCAATAGTTCCACCAATCGTCAATGACAGAATCTTCCATAATCTTCTAGTGGTACAACCTTTTGGAAAAATGGAACAGATAAAAAACAAAGTTGGTAAAAAAAATTAGAATATAATAGTTCTACTTCAAATTATCAAGTCAGCTAAGCCCAGCTACCTGTCACTAGGAAAGCTTTTCCTATCTCCAGTGGAGGCTCCTTTCTGATTCCACAGATCTGTTTTCATTCTCTTAAAAGTTTGACCCCACATCTAATTGTTCATGTGTTTGTTCTGCCAACTACAATGTGAGCTTCCTGAAGGAAAGTACATTTTCTTATTCATCTTTAATACTGGGGGCCTGTGTCTGGCACAGTTTAACAACCATAACTTAGGAAGTTTGTTAAATGGATGACTAAATGTGTTATGTGTCTAGGATGTAATTAGTCTTTTTTAGGTGATCTAGGTGGTTTATTCTTTTTTTTTTTTTGAGACAGAGTTTCGCTCATTACCCAGGCTGGAGTGCAATGGCACGATCTCGGCTCACCGCAACCTCCACCTCCTGGGTTCAGGCAATTCTCTTGCCTCAGCCTCCTGAGTAGCTGGGATTACAGGCACACGCCACCCATGCCCAGCTAATTTTTTGTATTTTTAGTAGAGACGGGGTTTCACCATGTTGACCAAGGATGGTCTTGATCTCTTGACCTCGTGATCCACCCACCTCGGCCTCCCAAAGTGCTGGGATTACAGGCTTGAGCCACCGCGCCCGGCGGTGGTTTATTCTTTAAAAGCTATTTTAAAAACTTTGTTACCTAAAAAAAATTCTTTTTTGAGACAGGATCTTGCTCTGATGCCCAAGACGGAATGCAGTGGTGCAATCTTGGCTCACTGCAACCGCTGCCTCCTGGGTTCCAGTGATTCTCCCACCTCAATGTGCTGAGTAGCTGGGACTACAGACATGCGCCACCATGCCTGGTTAATTTTTGTATTTTTAGTAGATACAGTGTTTCACCATGTTGACTAGGCTGGTCTTGAACTCCTGACCTCAAGTGATTCACGTTCCTCAGCCTACCAAAGTAGGAATATAGGCATGAGCCACTGTGCCTGGCCGATTACCTAAAACTTTTTTAAACCCACAGGTTTTGCAGGAATGCTCTGGGGGGAAAATATCCACAGAATAAATAATCTATCGTAACTCAAGTTAAAGGACATATAAACTAGGAAAAATAGAGACAGCACATATAAAAAGCTTAAATACTCTTAATATAAGATGAATACTTTCAGGACAATTTAAAAAGATGAGTATTGCAGTAGGAAAAAAATTAAGGACATGAACAGGCAATGCACAATAGAAAAAAGTGGCCAATAACAATAACAGACTGAAGATGTTCAAATTCATTAATGTTAAAGAAATGCAAATCAAAACTGTGAGTTATACTTTTAAAAATCTTAGCCAATTTGACAGCTTTCAAAATGCTAATACTCTGTTTTGGTAAAAAATAGACATCTTCAAGCACTGCTGCTGGAAGAATAAATTGGTGCCTCTCTGGAACGCAATATGGCAGCCGTGAGTAAAAGCCACCAAAAGGAGCATCCCATTCGGCCAGTAATTCCAAATCTAGGCACGTACCCTGACATGGTTTGGCTATTTGCTCCTTCCAAATCTCATGAAGAAATGTGATCCCCAATGTTGGAGGTGGGGCCTAATGGGAGGTGGTGTGGTGATGGAACCAGATCCCTTATAAATGGCTTGGCAAGGTTCTAGCATACTGAGTTCTCATCCTGAGTTCTCAGGAGAGCTGGTTGGTAGAAAAGAGCCTGACACCCCATGTTCCCTGGAAATTTCTTCTATTCTGGTCATGTGATCTCTAAACACTGGCTCCTCTAACCCTTCTGCCATGATTGGAAGCTTCCTGAGGTCTCACCAGAGGCAGATACTGGCACCATGCTTCTTGTACAGTCTGCAGAACCCTGAGGCAAATAAACCTCTTTTCTTTATAAACCTCCCAGCCTCAAGTATTCCTTTATAGCAACACAAATAGACTAAGACATGCCCCAGGAAATAAAGTTTTAAACAAACATATGGTCACAAGGAAATTTATCACGACTCTGTCTGTATTAGTAAATGGTAAGAAAACCTTTTACTTCTACAGTGGCAGCTATAAAAATACTTTACATTGATGATATTTCAAAAATACATCAACTGGCTTATGACATGTTCATAACATAATAAGAGAAAAATAGCAAGTTACAAAACAGCACATAGATCCCAATTTTGCAAAACTGTATACAAATGCTTGTGGGTATATATGTGCAGAATATGACATTTAGACAGCAAGACAGTGCCATTGGTGGTAGTTTCAGGATGGGAGTATATTTTTCTTTCTTTGCATTGTATAAGGTGTTCAGAAAGTACTGTTATCCCAAATGCATTCACTACTCTCAAATGACTGAGCCAGGTGGCATGACCTCCCATTACAGATTACTTTTGTAAACTGTTTCCCTGAATTGCTTTACTAGCCTGACTGGTAAGAATTAACATGGCTGTAAATAACGTAAATTCTGTCAGATATCCAGAATGGTTGATGGGTATGAAGATTTTCATGTTAACTTTAAAATCCTGACCATCCTTTAGTTACAAAAGCTATTCAGAAAGCAAGAAGTCAGTAATTAATGCTATTTGATGCATCACTTAGCAAATCTTTACCATTATACAAACAGCTGATCAAGTTCTGATTACTTTTCCCACCAAAAAAAAAAAAAAAAAAAAAAAAAAGCAAAAGACAGAACTTCAGGAATTTGACTAAATTATAAAGAAATAAAAAAAAATATTGATCCACCTCTCACTACTTTAATGAAATGAGAAACTCATCCAAGGTAAGGCTGCCTGGTGTGTGAATAGTATACACGATCAGAAAAATTCGAGATATACTAAAATCTGGGGTATGGGTTGGGGACCATTACTCGAAAGAGTCAGAGGATGAGACTGGCAGAACCATAAGTTAATGAACAGACAGCTGACGAAGGCTTCTAATCAAAGCTCTTTCATCTTTTGTCAAATCGTAACTGTAAAATCAATCTAATCAAATTGCAATTAGAACATCAGGGAACTAGAACCCGTTTCCATTGTTAGGTCCCACCAAATTTTTACCCTATTGGTGAATGACATTTTAATATGCAGAAATAAAAGCAACCCAAAATGCTACTTTAGTTTAAATCACCTACCAGATGGCAATTTATTTTCCAACTTCACATTTTCTTCTTGGGCTGGAAAGTCCTCAGAAACTTCTGTGGCTTTTATTTCTCTTCTTTGCCGGATGGACATCATGATGTCAGACTTACATGCATTGTTCTCCCAATCACTCCTACAAACATCGAAATAAATAGGCTGTCAACGTCAGTGCCTTCTCCCCAACAGACCATGTGCTAATCTATGCTGAAATGCCTTTACTTGTGCCATTTTCCTTGACTACCATGCCCTCCCATCTTTTTTTTTTTTCCTTCCTCATAAGACAGGGTCTTACTGTCACCCATGCTGGAGTGCAGTGGCACCATCATGGCTCACTGCAGCCTCTGTTTCCTCAGGCTCAGGTGATCCTCCCACCTCAGCCTCCTGAGTATCTGGACTACAGGCATGTGCTAGTAATTATTGGCTAATTATTTTTTGTAACAATGGGGTCTCCCTATCTTGATCAGGCTGGTCTCAAACTCCTGGCCTCACACGATCCTCCCACCTTGGCCTCCCAAAGTGCTAGGATTACATGCATGAGCCATTGTGCCCAGCCTTCTCTCAATCTTGCCATCCAAATTGTTGCTGGTCTTCAAAACTACACTCAAGACACAATTCAAATATTTATTTAACTCAATCATATTTATTCATGAAGTGTGTGCTTTACAGCAGGCCCTGCCAGGAGTCAGGAATACAGGTGAACAACACACACGAGCCACTGCTCTCCTTCCAGAACATCTTGAGACATTCCAGTTCCTGCTGATCTTCTCCCTGAGCCGCAGCAATTACCATGCAATGCGTCACATAATTACATAGTTGTATATTATTTTCTACTTCCATAGGCGGTAGTAGGTCTTCTGTATCTCCCACAGAACTGGCCACGTGGGAGATACTCCATAGTAAATGTGTTGACAACCGGATTTTGAAGAACTAAAATATTGTTTCGTCTCAGGTACCTGAATTTTAACACCAGTGTTCTATAAAACAATTCACACTGGCAGCTTCAGGAACATGCCTCAGCGGTGATGACTGCGGGGGTGTGCCAATCAGGGCAGCTGCTATCCCAGGGAGCTTTGGTGGGAGTAACCGCGGGGAGCAGGAGCCTGGTTTGGCAGCAGCAGGTGGGAGGCGGGGGAGTGGTGGCAGTGAGTAAGCGGGTTCCAGTCCTCCAGAACATCTTGCTTCACTCCTCTGAATAATGAACAGCCTCTCTAATGATTTCTCAAATATGACTAGTAGCCTGACATGATTGTTTCCACAGTTTATTAATTCCTAAGGGTAAGTAACTTGCTCTACAGAACAAACCAACTAACATTATACAATTCATGTACTCATTCATACAAAAAAAAAAAAAAAAAGGAAGTCAGATTTAAGTACTGTGCTTTCAAGCACTGGAAGCAGAGAATCTGGAACAGAGGGAGAAGAGGAGTGTTTAGCAAAGTCCTATAGCCACAGATGGGCTTACCCCCAAGTGACCTCATCCTAGAGTCCTGCCCTCCCTGAGTGGGAGGATTTTGTGAAACAATTCATATATTCCAGTATGTTAAAGCAGAAAGCCAATACATATTTAAGTGCCAGTTATGTGCTGGGCACTGCAATAGTCCCATGAACTATGAAACAAAAGTTCCTTCATCAGATCAAAAGGAGTGCCATTGCCGACAGAGTAAGACTCTGTCTCAAAAAAAAAAAAGAAAAAAAAAAAGGAGTACCGTCGCAAATTCGCAAATGACTGAAAACAGTGGCCGGGTGTGGTGGCCCACATCTGTAATCCCAGCACTTTGGGAGGCCAAGGCTAGTGATGAAGTCAGAAGTTCAAGATCAACCCGGCCAAGATAGTGAAACCCCATCTCTATTAAAAAATACAAAAATTATCCAGGCGTGGTGGCAGGTGCCTGTAATCCCAGTTACTTGGGAGGCTGAGGCAGAGAACTGCTTGAACCCAGGAGGCAGAGGTTGCAGTGAGCCGAGATCCACTGCACTCCAGACTAGGAGACAGAGGGAGAAAATTAAATTTGAAAAAAACAAACAAACAAACAAACAAACAAACAAACAAACAAACAGAAAACCAGACGCGATTCTTCATTAATAAGGAAGACTAGTGCCGGCGGGGAAAGACAGCTCATGCCTGTAATCCCAGCACTTTGGGAGGTTGAGGGAGGAGGATCGCTTCGGGCCGAGAGTTTGGGACCACCTGAGCAACAGAGTGAGACCCTATCTCTGGAAAAAAAAAAAAAAAAAAAAAAAAAAAAAAAATTAGCCGGGTGCGGTGGTGCATGCCTGTGGTCCCAGCTACTCCGGGAGAATCGCGTGAGCCCGGGAGTTCGCGGCTGCAGTGAGCCGTGATCGCGCCACTGCACTCCAGCCTGCGCGCGAGAGAAAGACCCCGGCTCTAAAAAATGAGTCTACCGCTTTAGACCGCATCCCCTGGGCGAGGCAGGCACCGGGTTCCCTTACCTGCGCGCCACGCCCCTGCACACCTGGCGTCCCCATCAGACAGACCTCCCAGGACAGGGGCAGCCGGGAAGTTCAGGCACGCGCCCCAGCTCTCCCAGGACCGCGAGCGGCCGTGGGGGTCGCAGCCCAGGCCCTGCCTCGCCGCGCGGCCGAAGGGCAGAAGCTGCCCTGCAAACTTGCTCCCTCCCGAGCCCAGCCCGGCCCGCGTCCCGGCGGACACTCGCGCGCTCCGCCCCTCCCGACGCCCCGACGCCGCGGCCGCGCCCCCCGACTGCGCCACGCGGCGGGGCGGGGCGGCCGGAAGGGCTCGGGGCAGTCGCTGTGGGTTTCGCCGGCGCCCGCCCGCCCTCCCGGGGGACCCTCGCCCGAGCGTCCCCGCGCGCCGCCACAGACCTGCGGCCTCAGCCGTCCTCACGCGCTGCTCCGGGAGGGGAAGGAGGCCGGCCGGGCAAGGCGGGGGCGGGACCGCGCCACGGACAGCAGGGCGCCGCAGGGACTGGGAGGGCAGGGCAGCCGCAGAGCTTTGTGGAAATGAGGGACTGGGGGGCGTCGACAGTCCCGGGGAGGGGGCGCGCCGGGGAGGCCGGGCCGCTATGGCCGCGCCCATAGGCTCCGGGAGCTGTTCGTCAATGCCAGGCCCCGCCTCCTCTCGCGGCGCTCCGCCCCGTCTCGTGCGGCGCTGGCCGGAAGGAAGCGGTGCACTTCCGCTTGCCTGGCCCGACTTGTGTCCCATGTGTTCCGGAGAGCTGATCGGCAGAGCAGCGGTCGTAGGGAGCGGAGTGCACATCCTGTCTTTATGCACGCAGGCGCCGGTCACCGCCCCCAAGCCAGAGCTGGAGATGCGGCTCGGGAGAGGAGAGTTTGGCGGCTCCGAGGAGGGATCGCCTGGAGCCGTAAGGCTCAGAGCAGTGGCTCCGCGATGCCTCCCCGGGGCTTGAGATCGGTACGGGCTTGGGAGCCTCTGAGGGCCTGGTTTGCAGAACTCCTCCTTCCTCCTTCCTGCGTCCCCTGCTCTGTGGCGGATGCGCAGGGATCTGTAGGGACGATCTGAGGGACGGAAGCAGTCCGGCCACTTGGGCCTGGCCCTCCACCTCCGGGCCTTGGCAAAGCCCCAGCGCCCGACTTTAAGCCACTGACCGGGGCTTAAAGTCCTTTAGCGACTGCCCGCCAGCGTCCCGCAGAGAGGGTTTTGCCCTTCTCCCGAAAATAGGCTCCTCTGTGTTCTCAGTCGGGTATATTTTCTGTCTCCAAACTAGATTGGCAGCCGTCTTTTGAGAGCAGGTACTGACTGTGCTTTGTCTCTAGGTACCTTTCCTAGTCACACTACGAAAAGCACTAGATAGAACCTTTTCAAAAATTAATTTTTAGAGATGAGGCTCTCTGTCGCCCAGGCTGGAGTGCTGCAGCCTCGACCGCATTTTTGTCTTATCACACTTACGTTTAAATGATTTTTAAAAGGAATTAGTCTTGAAACAATTCTACATGTTTTTAATTATTTTGTAGAATGCTTTGATGTTGAGAGGGCAACTGACCCTTCATTACACTTCTTTTAGCCACATATTTTAGCAATTCTTGCGTATTTCTTTGCTCAGATAAACTTTATAACCATTTATCAAGTTCCAAAAGATAATCCATGGAAATTTTTACTAGAACTATATAAAATGTTTAGAAATGTTTGGGAGAAATGAGGTATTACAATGCTGAGTATTCCCTTACAGAACCATGTATGGGACAGTTTGGTACACTACATAAATTTTTTTCCAACGGTGCTTTCATCCAATTTGGTTGACTTTTCAAGTGTCTTGGTAGAAGTCAAAGCAATGGTCCAAACTTTTTTTTTTTTGAGACGGAGTTTCGCTCTTGTTACCCAGGCTGGAGTGCAATGGCACGATCTCGGCTCACTGCAGCCTCTGCCTCGTGGGTTCAGGCAATTCTCCTGCCTCAGCCTCCTGAGTAGCTGGGATTACAGGCACGTACCACCATGCCCAGCTAAGTTTTTGTATTTTTAGTAGAGACGGGGTTTCACCATGTTGACCAGGATGGTCTCGATCTCTCGACCTCGTGATCCACCCGCCTCGGCCTCCCAAAGTGCTGGGATTCAAACTTCTTTTTTTAAAGACAGTGTTTCACTCTGTTGCCCAGGCTGAGTGCAGTGGCACCATCTCAGCGCACTGTAGCCTTGACCTCCTGGGTTCAAGTGATTCTTATGCCTCAGTCTCCTGAGTAGCTGGGATTACAGGCGTGCGCCACCATGCCTGGCTAATTTTTGTACTTCAAGGTGAGATGGGGCTTCACCATGTTGGCCTGGCTAGTCTCAAGCTCTAAGCCTCAAGTGATCTGCCTGCCTTTGTCTCCCCAAAGTGCTGGGATTACAGGCATGAGCCATTGCGCCCAGCCTCCAAACTTTAATCAGAAAAAAATTTTGTCTTCTCTTTCTGTATACATATGAACATTTTTTTTTAAAAAATGAGGCAAGGTCTTGCCATGTTGCCCAGGCTGGTCTTCAACTTTTGGGCTCAAGTGATCCCCAGCCTTGGCATCCTGAAGTATTGGGATTACAGGCATGAGCCACCACACCCAGCCCGTATAAACGTATTTTTAAACAAAGAGACTACACAGGAAATCCTAGTGTTTTCTGTATACATCCCATTGGATTGTTTTACGCACTCTATATGACATGTCAGAGACCACAGAGGTGGGCATGTCTATGGCAGTCCTCTGAGATTGGCATGGCACACGTGGTTCTTAGGGAACCCAGGCCAAGCACCAGGGATGAGCTTCCTCGATGGTTGCATCATTCCAGTGTCCCACAGCCACTGACATCACCCTGGATTCCTCTTTCTCTCCTTTAAAATGTTTGTCAATAGATGGCTGCTTCTCTGTGAGTCTTCAAGTGGCAGGCCAGGTCTCACTAACACAGGCCTCCATAAGGACCATTTCAGCACTGACTGAGTGGTTAAGTTAAATATTAAAAGGTAATAGAGCCAGTGCCCTATACAAAGGCTGGAATGAAACAAAAGCCCACCAGGAGTTTTGCCCAGCCCTTTCCTGGGCCTTGAAGCATGACAAGATGACGAGGAATTCTCAACAGGACCCGTCTAGGATTAAACAAGTTTCACTGGGGGTCTGAAGAAACTCCCCAGGCCTCCACAAACGAGTTTATTGGGGCCTGAAGGAACTCTCCAAACCTCCGTGATTTAGCAGGAAACGAGATAAGGAGAATCACCCCAGCACCTGGACCCATTTAGAGTAAGTAAATTTACTGAGGCTCCAGAGGAAGGTTCTCAGGACTCAGATCTTAGTTATAGATGAGAAGTCAATCACTTATATCTTTAGATGAATGCACACTTACACACATATTGCATAGAAGGTATATAAGCCCTGGCAAACTTTATGATTTTGAGTTGGTCTAGGGGTAATTTCTAGGCCTTCTCCCTGTAACCAGTTACAGAAATAAACTCCTTCCTTTCCCAGTTCATCCGCATCTTGCTATTGGGCTGTGAGAAGCAGCAGCCTGAGCTTCCGTTTGGTCCAAGAACATTCAGAAAAAGCATTATGAAATATTGTCTGTATTTCTTCTCTTTGTTTAACTTTATATTGACTAGATTTGTAGTGCTTTAAAATAGTGAAATTTTTAGGCAGACTAGCATAGGTGCACAAATCCAAGGATACTCTAAAATGTAGTTAAAGTTAGCAAAGTACTTACTGAGTTTTTGTTTCATTTTCTTTTAAAAATTTATTATTATTGTTATTATTTTTTTGAGAAGAGTTTCACTCTTCTCACCCAGGCTGGAGTGCAATGGTGTGATCTTGGCTCACTGCAACCTCCACCTCCCGGGTTCAAGTGATTCTCCTGCCTTGGCCTCCCAAGTAGCTGGGATGACAGGCATGGACCACCACGCCTGGCTAATTTTTTTTGTATTTTTAATAGAGAGTGGGCCAGACTGCTCTCAAACTCCTGACCACGGGTGATACACCCAACTTGGCCTCCAAAGTGCTGGGATTATAGCCATGAGCCGCCTTGCCTGGTCGATTTTGAATAGAGGTGGGGTTTCGCTAGGTTGCCCAGGTTGGTCTCAAACTCCTGGCCTCACGTGAGCCTCCCACCATGGCATCCCACAGTGCTAGGATCACAGGGGTGAGTCACTGTGCTTAGCCTCGTTTTAACACCTGCTTCTCTGCTTACCTCTACTTGTCTGTACTTTTTTCATTCCCATGGTTACCACCTACACTTTTTTTTCATTTCCATGGTTAGAATAACTGTTGTGTATTTTCGAATGAGGACATGAATAGGTAAGGTATTCAATTAAAGCAGATGATGATGTTTTATTACATAAGCTTTCGCCACATGTGATGATTCTTTAGATGTTAGTCCAAGAATCTGTCCTTGGCTGGTCCTTCTGGTTTGTTTCCTTGGACTGCTGTAATGTCATTTCCTGCAAAACAGGCATGTACATGTGTCCACAAATCCCAGCAGCAGGTTTTTCCTACTAATAGATGCCAAGGCAGGTTGTCAGGCTTGAGAGATTTTTTGTTTTGTTTTGTTTTGTTTTCCTGTTGTAAGCAGGACTTTCAGCCAGAAAAGGATGTGTTTCTAACACTCTTGAATTCAGACATTTTATCATGCCTTAAATTAGGGCTAATCTAGGGCAGGGCTGGATTTTCACTAACCCTTATCAAGTGCACCCCACAAACTTTCCTGAATCAACCCATGGGACAAAGATGAGATAAACCAAAGGATTCCTTATGCATAAAGTCTACAGATTTGATTGCAAGTGCAGTCCGAAAGCTCCGAGACTGAAACTATCCCAGCAGCTAGATGGAGTCCAGCTGTACTGAGTCAATTCTGTACTTTAGTGATTCTCCACGTGATGGTGGTAACAAATCCAGCCTCCTCTTACAGATTTTTCCTCACAATCTCCTGATGACCTTTTGGATGTTCAGTCAAGATACCAGGAAATGAGGTTTGAAATAGCTTTCTTTCCCTATAACCATCTTTATTCAACCAATTCATTTCTATGCAAGGATGAATTCCTTATGGCAATATGACCCTCCCCCACCCAGGGGGGAAAAACTGGTCTCTGGGGGTTCAAAAAATTACCCTTTTTATGGATAAAGCACAGATACACAGACCTGGCGTGGTTGCTCATGCCTGTAATCCCAGCGCTTCGGGAGGCCACATGTGTACATGTGGGCGGGCAGATCACCTGAGGTCAGGAGTTAAGAGTCCAGCCTGAGGCCGGGCGCGGTGGCTCAAGCCTGTAATCCCAGCACTTTGGGAGGCCAAGGCGGGTGGATCACGAGGTCAAGAGATCAAGACCATCCCGGTCAACATAGTGAAACCCCGTCTCTACTAAAAACACAAAAAATTAGCTGGGCATGGTGGCTCGTGCCTGTAATCCCAGCTACTCAGGAGGCTGAGGCAGGAGAATTGCCTGAACCCAGGAGGCGGAGGTTGCAGTGAGCCGAGATCGCGCCATTGCACTCCAGTCTGGGTAACAAGAGCGAAACTCCATCTCAAAAAAAAAAAAAAAAAAAAAAGAGTCCAGCCTGGCCAACATGGCAAAACCCTGTCTCTACT